GATCAAACAACAGTGAAAAAAAATGTTTAAACAAAACCTTAAGCTCAGTTTTTCTGTCAGTCCTGGATGTGCATGTGTTTTACTGCTGTTGAGTGTGCTGTCTATATATATTTTTCTCTATTTTTACAAAATAAACACACTACAGCAGTGGGTGAAGCTTATTCACACTGAGAGTGTGAGAGTAAAAACAGTTATTCAGATACTACTGTTGCCATCACTCTCTCTGAAGACATCATGTTTCTCTTTACCTGGATAATAATACAACTTTGCATGGGTAAGAGATGCATTCAATCAATATGTTTATTATAAAACAAAAAATTATATTATTATAAAATTATATTATAATGAAAAAAAATCAATTTGAGGCTTTTCATATATCTATTATTTAATTGCTTGATTGCCTTTATTTCATTTATTCCAATGAGAACAATCAATGGATACAGAGTCAAAGGTTAAAAGAAAACCCATAAATAAAGTTAGTAAGCTGAATGATACTATAAGTGAATGAAAATAAATAAACTAGCCTAATACAAGTTAATGAGCCCAAATTTACATATGTATAACTGAAATGGATTAATGTGAAATCATTGTGACATTAAAAATTGAACGAAGCATGGTAATATTGCTAATTACTTTAAAACCATACAAAAGTAGGTAAAGTTAAAGTTTCAATCTATTATCATGTGTAACACAATGTGCAGGTATAATGTGCCACAAGGTGGCAGTGTTCTCAGACATTTCATAGGAACTGCAATAACAGAATTTGTAAAATGTACATTACATTTTTAATATCATGTGAAAAGTGACCAAAAGGCATGCATATTTTTGGTGTACTTTTTTTCATATGTCACACCATTAAACATACTATTAAATAAAGGTTGAGAGCTTTCACTGATTTTACATTCACAGAGATCAGGAAGTTTCTGAATGTCTTGACACGTCAGTAACACAGTCAGAGCACAGAGAGAAAGAACACACAACTGATCTAAACATAGTCACCATGAACAAATACATGCTGCTGCTTTTCATTATGGCATCAGGTGTGGCATTTATGATTACTTCAGATCATTTAGCTGCTATTAGCTATTTTATTGATTTTCTTTCAACACACTTGTAATTTATATCTTTAGTGATATACAGTGTTTAAAATAAAACAAAACGAGTTCATATTGGGCTTAATGTTTGCAGATGTGACGGCTGTGGACAAAATTGAACCAAATAAAGGGATGAGCATCATCAAAACAGAAAAAGAGCCTGTTACCCTGAGCTGCTCATATGATTCAAACAGTGAATATGTACGTCTGTACTGGTACAGACAATATACTAATGGAGAACCTCAACATTTATTATATGAAGGAACATGATCAAGCTGTGCTAAGCACAGCTCTGATCCTCGATTCCAGTCAAGCACTTCTCACATAATGACTGAAGTCATGTGACTGTGTCAGATTCAGCTTTCTATTACTGTGCTTTAAGAGTTGAAACCCAGTGATACAAAACATGCAACAAGTCGGACAAAAACTACAAGCCACTTTTTTTTTTTACGTTGAAGCTATTATTATGAAAACCAAATCAAAACCTCAATGTGAGATAATAACTGCAAACACCTGCGTGAGGTTGAGGGAAGAAATGTTTTATAAAAGGAATATAAGGACAAAAAAGGTCAAAGGTAAAAATGCTTAAAAGGGCTTAGGGTTGCAACTGTGTGTTACAGAAATGTACTACAGTTGTGCAACACTTCATTCATGTTACATTTGCAAAAAACATAAAGCTTCCCCATATTATACATGAATATGTTTCATGTAGTTTTTAATTTTTTAATTTTTTTTAAATCTTGCTGTGACAGACTGTCATTATCCTGTAGTTTTACCAACTCTAGTAAACACTTCATTCATGTTACATTTGCAAAAAACATAAAGCTCCATGTGTTTCATGTAGTTTAAAAAAATAAAATAAAATCTTCCTGTGACAGACTGTCTGACACTAAAATATGACTAGTGTTAATTTCAACTTGTGTAACAAAATCTACTATGCACCCACTTAGATTATTTACAGTTATTACTACTTAGATTTGATCTGTATCTTAACAATAATGAACAGAATATTGGTTTGACATATATAGCAATAATGAGCCAGGCCCTAAGAAAAAATATTCCAACAAACTAAAGCTTTTCTTTTGTCTTGAAGTGTCAAAAGAGGAGGGACTTAGATCTGACATGATGTAGCTATGTCTGACAGAGACTGTGGTAGAAAAGATTCAGTCTGATTCTTCTCAGAGTGAACACTTATACAATGGATCTTCACTCAGTTATCCTGTTCTGTGTCTCAACCGGTATTTATATTTATTTGGCTGATTATTTGGTAGATTATTAAAAGAAGAAAATAACAAAACAAATATACCTCTTTTTTTCAGTTGCTGTCTTTGGAAAGGTCATCAAACCAAACAAAGTCAATATTTTTACTGAGGAGGGTTCAAGTGTTACATTATCCTGTAGTTTTACTGACTCTAGCATACAGATTATCTCCACTGGTACCGTCAGTATGGAAGATCAAAACCTGAATTTATTGTACTCACCTACGACACTGCAAAAGATGCTCAGCGCTCTGTTGTTGATCCAAGATTCACTGTTAATGTGACAAAAAGGGAACATGATTCTGAAGATCTCCTCTGCTGCTGTATCAGACTCAGCTCTCTACAAAAACCTGTTACAATGAGAGGCATGAGAGAGAGAATTTAAGTAATCTAATGTAAAAAGGATCAAAACATAAAATAAAGCAACATTCTAAAATGAGTCAAATTCTTTTTAATCTGTTAAACAGCGAAACAGGGCCGTTGTGGTCTAATGGTTAGAGAGTTGGACTTGTAACCTGAAGGTTGTTGTGGGTTTGAGTCTTGGTACTGGCTTGTACGTGACTGAGGTGCCCTTGATCAAGGCACCTAACCTCCAATTCCTCCCTGGCTGCAGCAGCAAATCTCACTATTATTGTGCTCTAAGAGTATTATTAGCCCAGTGATACAAAACATGAAACATGTCATACAAAAACCCGAAGCTCTTTTCCACTTTGATTTTTTCTGGTGAAAGCCACATCAAAACCACTATCTATCCATTCCTGTTGAGGCCTGTCATAAAACTTCAAAGACACTTGTGTGGTTAGTTTTATACACATAGTCTTAAAGCACCGTAATTAACTAGCATTTTAATTTACATTATAATTAGTATAATTTTTTTCCCAGAAAATGAAAATTAATTTTAATATGAAAAAAATATTACAAATATGTGAATAAAATGAATTGAGTTCATGAGCACAATAAAATAAACTTGTGCCTTTGTCCACCACAGCAAAATTCAAAATAGACTATGATGAACAATGTGCTAAATATGTTTTGCATTTTCATGTATTTTTTTGGTCATTAACCTGGATTTCAGATGTTTTTGAATGTGCCAGAGGGAGGAGTCAAAGGAACCTCTTCAAACAAACTGTGTAGTGTAGATCAAGTGCACTTGCTCACTAGAGTATATACAGTCACTCTGTGACTAGATCAGGGGTGAGCATAAGATCTGGATTTATATTAGACTTCATTTTTAAAGCAAGAAAGATGACAGACTGGATAAAACAAACTATCATTGTTTTCATATATGTCTGGGGTAAGTAACATTTTTTTGTGAGTAATTCTTTTTAATACTCTTAAATACTCTTTGTAATACTACAAAGTTATTTTGAATGTTTATGATATTTCTTTGCTGATGTTGTTCATGATTTGAATCTACAGGAATAGAATCACAGGACAGTGTTGAGCAGAAAACAAGAGTTCAGACTGTTTATGAAGGTGGAACTGTAATAATCAACTGCACATATCAAACACAGCTCACCCCGACTCTCTATTGGTACCAGCAAAAAGTAAACAGAGTTCCTAAATATATGCTTCAAAGAGTTGGTAAGACTGGAGCTGAAGATGAAGAGTTCAAAGACAGATTTAATGCACATATCGACACATCTTCAAAATTAGTTCCTCTGACAATCCAGGATGTGTGTGTGTCTGACTCTGCTGTGTACTACTGTGCTCTGAAGCCCACAGTGAGAAAACTCAAGTCAAACCACATACAAAAACACAGATGTGTTCGTTTCTTTACAGTAAACATTTCTGAAATGTAAAATCTATAATAAAGTTATACTGAAGATAACACAGTCAAATGAACTATAATTCTCATTGTGCAATCAATGTAATATTATCCATCCATTCTCCAATCTGCTTATCCTCTGTAGGATGGCAGCAATTTAATGTTATTTTGATATAAATTTTATTTAATTGCATGATTTCAACTTTGAATTATGTAAATGTGTTTTCTTGATTTAAGGGATGTTCACAGCATAACTGTCTTGCTAACATGTGAACCATTGGCTTATGATGCATGATGTAAATATAAGTATGTGTTGCATTTGATTAAAGAATTACCAAATTAGAATGTATCTGTAATTTAACACTGATAGACACATAAATGTGTTTCACATGATGCTACACTGTTGTGAGATGGGCCCAAAATGACATTCAAAATGTTTCTGACTCTGATGGTGAAAAAAACTCTAAAACACTAAAACATCTGGTTATTCTGTATTTCTTTGGTGTGGTTTAATTTGCTATTCAGTTACTTGTCTTTCACTTCAGAATTTTTATGTTATTTATTTATTTATTTTTATTATTGTACAGCACATTGGTCAATGGACTGTTGTTTTAATGCTGCTTTATAAATAAACTAAACTAAACTAAACCAAACTGAAAACTGTTATTCTTATAAGGACAATCATATTCCTAAATAAGGATCCAAGATTAACTTTGGTTTATTTGTTTGGTACAGTTGTAAAAATTATTCATGTGCTTAGATCTTTCTTCTCTTTTCAATGTCTGAATTGAGCTATACTATGAGGGAGGAGGGACTCAGTGTTCATATCGTGTCTGACAGAGACTGTGATTGAATCGATTCAGTCTGACTCTTCTCAGAGTGAACACTTGTACAATGGATCTTCATTCAGTTATTCTGTTCTGTGTCTCAGCTGGTATTTATTTACATAATTATGTATTTAACCATTTTTCTCAAAACTTTTCACTAAAATGTTATCAATTAACCTTTCCTTTTCAGCTGCTGTCTTTGGAAATGTCATCAAACCAGAACAACTAGATGTTTTTGCTGAGGAGGGTTCAAGTGTTATCCTGTACTTTTTCTGACTCTGGAGTTACAGATCATCTCCACTGGTACCGTCAGTATGGAAGATCACAACCAGAATTTCTTGCACTCTCCTACAGCAATGCAAAAGTTGCTCAGTGGTCTGATGTAGATCCAAGATTCTCTGTTAACATTCCAAAAAGGGAACATGTGGATCTGGAGATCTCCTCTGCTGCTGTATCAGACTCTGCTCTGTACTACTGTGCTCTGAGGCTCACAGTGACAGGAAACACATCAGCTCTCTACAAAAACCTGTTACAGTAAGAGACAAGAGAGAAACACAGAGACAGAGATGAAGACAGAAAGAAGCTGTAACTGGCAATTGTGAACCAAAAAAAAAAAACAGTACCAAAATCAAAAGGTACACACATGTCCCTTTGATCTCTATGAAGCTGCTCTTTAACACATGTAATTCAGTCAACTGTCAAACTATAAAACATTTCATATATTCCGCACTTGCAATAAATAGTGCAGGTTGATGTATGCCACAGGATGGCAGTGTTCACACACTTTCACATGGATATATTGTTCCTATCCTATATGAGAAATAGTCATACTACAAAATTATGTTAAACTTTTATATTGTACAAATTATTTTGAAAATATACTTGCATAACAGAAAATATATAAATCAAGAAATCACATATTCTTCAGGTTACTTAACATTTCCATGCTAATAATAAAGAGTAAAAAAAAAAATGCAGGCATTAAATATTTGTGCCTTTACAACCTTAATAAACTCAGAAATTGCATGTATATTGGTGTAATGTGTACAGTACATTTCACTGGCTTCTTCATACTGGCACTTATTGGGTTTATTTTTTTATTTTTTATAATAATGCTCTTTTTAAAGAAATACTCCATTGCATACACTCTGTGCTCCATCATCACCATTATCATGGTTTGTGCACAGTGAGGAAGCTGAAGTCCATCAAAAATGGTTTAATTAACATGCTTCTGATATTGATGTAGGCTAAACCCCCATGTAAAACTTTTTATATACAATGTTCTCTAAATCGCTTATACAATAGCTTAGTTATCTAACACAGTTAAATGACAGTCATAAACAGCAGAAGGAAGTTCAGAGAGGAGGAAGTCCTGTGTGTTTCTGACTGATCTGCAGTGACTTACAGCTGAGAGCACTGAGAGACTCAACAGAGAACTGAACTGATCTGATTGAACATGGACAGATGCTTTATACTGATTCTCATTGTGGGAACAGGTATACTGTTTACTGAGCAACTGACAAAAATATTTATGTACATACAAATGTATGATTGTTTAAATCTTAAACCCAAAAGGCTATATTGATATTATTTTGGTTATTTCTATTTTGTAAAACATGCTGTGACATGTGTTTCCAATATTATTTTGACAACTTTGCTTTCACAAATCAAAAATCAGTTATATATGTGCTTATTGTTGACAGGTTTGGTGGCTGGAGACAACATTGAGCCAGATAAAGGGACAGAAAAAAACTCTAGAGAAGGAGAAATGGTCAAGCTGAGCTGCTCATATAGTTCAAGTAGTGAATATGTTGTGCTTTACTGGTACAGACAGTATTCCAATGGAGAACCACAGTATTTATTACTTAAAGGTGCCCGATCACGTTCTGATACACACACCTCTGATGGTCGATTTAATTCGGATACAACACGCACATCCACTGAACTCACTATTACTGATGTACGTCTGTCAGATTCAGCTCTCTATTATTGTGCTCTAAGAGTAGTAGCCCAGTGATACAAAACACAAAACTTGTCGTACAAAAACCTGAAGCTCTTTTCACTTTGAAACTATCTACTGAAAACCACAATCAAAACCATGATCTATCCAGCCCTGAATGTAATAAAATATGCGGTTACACCTGTGTGAGTTTTAATTAGACATAAAAACTTCCAAAAAGCACTGACAATGCAGTATTACATTCTTTGCGGTTCCTTTTATACACAAACACATTCTAAAATATAATTTCTCAATCACTTGTCATGCAGTAAAACAGGGAGCCAGTAAAGGGAATTCACTTAAGTGAGATTTGTTGAAAGGGTGTTGAGATTTCTGTCTTTTTAAATATTAGTCTCTCAGCACTACTCCTGTTGAGTTCACGGCCCTGGTGCCTCTCCAACAGCATCCAGCCTATACTGATATATTATCGTTCAGTCTTTTGGGTTTATTTTCATGGCTTTGGCAGTGACATCGGAGCTTCTTCTCCCACTGACACACAGACTATTGTCATGCTCAAATCTAGTCCTCAACAAACCAAAGGCATCTGCATTATATATTATTCATTTAGCAAATGCGTTTACTCAAAGGGTCTTTGTCATTTATGTAATACAACAACATTCTTTGTGCTTTTTAGTCTTGCTGCAAGAAAGAATGATACATTATAAAAACATTAGTTTTTTCTATAGTACAGAAAGCAAAAAAAAAAAAAAGTCAGAAAGGGACTTGTTGCATTAAGATTATTTCAGCTTTTGTCTTTGATAAGAACCCTTTATAATTGAATGAAAACAATGTAATTTCAGAAGTTGGCCACTGTGTGGCATAATCTATGATGCTGATTTATGAAGTCCCTGCTATATGTGTATATCCTTTGCAAACAGATTTGCACTGTTAGACTTCAGACTAATATTGCCTGCTGCACATAAACTATGCTAATCTGGCTGAGGAATTTACTTTTACTGGCAGTAGTTCTTGGTAAGTAACAATTCAATTAAATCTAACATAGTGCATGATCATTATATAAGAATATACAGTATATCTGTGTTTTTTTTCTTGACAGAGTGCAATACACAAGATTCTGTCAATCAGCCAACAAGAGTTCAAACAGCTTCTGAACATGAGATGGTTAAACTTCACTGCACTTACAGTACCAGTGATTCACACCCTTATCTTTACTGGTACCAACATAAAACCAATGGATTCCCAGTTTACATGCTCCGTAAACTCTCGACTGGATCAAGCAGCAGTGAAAAAGAATTTGAGGAAAGATTTCATGCAGATCTCAACAAATCCTCAAATTCAGTTTCTCTGTCAATCCAGGATGTGCGTGTGTCTGACTCTGCTGTTTACTACTGTGCTCTGCAGCCCACTGTGACCGAAACACATATACATCCTGACAAGATCTAAGGGCTCTGAAACATACAGTTTTAACATGAGCATGTTTTTTCAATGCTGTTAGCAGTGGGTGGAGTTTATTAACACTGTTGAGAGTGTGTGACAGAGACAAACAGTTGTTCAAATACTATATTTGCCATCACTGTCTCTCTGAAGACATCATGTTTCTCTTTAACTGGATAATAATTCAACTTTGCATGGGTAAGATATCTTTTTTAAGCAATATGCTTATTATAAATGTCCCTTAAAATCAATTTAGTGTTGCATATGAAGTGCATAAATGTTTTTATTTTTGCACAGGAAATTCTTTCGGTGACACAATACAACCATGGTTTCCAGAAAAACATGATTCTGATGGTGAAAATATGACTCTGTCCTGTAACTACAGTCTCACTAGCGGCACTAGTGTTACTATCCAGTGGTATCGCCAGTATCCTGCAGCAAAACCAGAGTTTTTACTTTTTGTCACTGAATATTCTAGCAAATCTGTGCCTGAACTACGTCTATATTCAGAAGCTAAAAAAGAAATCAAACGTGTGGATCTGGTGATCTTCTCTGCTGCTGTATCAGACTCTGCTCTGTACTACTGTGCCCTGCAGCCCACAGTGACAGGAAACTCAGTAACAATGTGCAAAAACCTGATATACAGAATTCTATCTATTACACAAAATAGGTTTAGCAACAAGAACAAAACTGTAACAAAATACTAGTCATTTTAATACTGAAGTCATCTGAGGTATTTTTGAAGACCATTGGGATGCAAGTGCCAGTTGCGTTTGGAATAACAGAACACGAGTCAGCATTGTGAGAGACATGAAAGTAAAGCCAGCATTAAAACACCACTGCTATCAATGATGGTAAATATTAGGAAATATCACACTGCCACTGAATGCCGCAAATGACTGATCAAGTGTAGCGGTCAAGTCTTTATTCACTGCAGGTTTTGGTGAATAAATAATATAGGCTAATCAAATGCATGAATGCATAGTGTATGTATATCCTAAGATTAATCATTGTACATGTAATAATAATTAAGTGATATACTGTAGTTTAATTTATACACAATACTACAGTCTTCTTCACAGAGGCTCCTCCCAACAGTCAGACCATGTGATATGAATTTACTGCTGCTTTAACAGATGCAGAAAGAGGAAGAGGATCACAACATCTCTGCATATTTTTTAAGAGTCTGCCATTTCAATTGTATATAATGGCACTCTGGAAATTTAATATTGTGATCATAGTTTTATATATCTGGGGTGAGTAGTACTATTAAATAACGATTCTTTTCAAATCTATTTAAAATGAATTTTCCTTATGTGTGTAATGTGCATATTTATTCATATTATTTTAATTCAATTTCAGGTTGTAATTCTCAATCTCAAGACAAAGTTGATCAGCACACAAGGATTCAATCTGCTTTTGAAGGTGATACTGTAACGATCGACTGTACATATGAGGCTACTTATACAGGCCCGACTCTCTTCTGGTACCAGCAGAAAGAAAATGGAAATCCAAAACACATGTTAAATAAATTCTCTAAATCTGGAAACAGTGAGGAAGAATTCAAGGAGAGATTTCATGCAAATCTCAGCACAACTTCAGTTCCACTGACAATCCAGGATGTCCGTGTGTCTGACTCTGCTGTGTACTACTGTGCTCTGAGGCCCACAGTGACTGAAACACACTCAACACTCATACAAAAACACCAACAATGCAACATCATGCAATTCAAATTTATTTAGGCCTATTTTTTTATTTATTTTAACTTGAGTAGATTAAATTGTTTAGTCTATGATTTAATTTTTATGACCTATATATACTCTATTTTAGGTTTCTTTCACTTAAAAGTTTACATTCGATTTACATGATCTAATTTCATATTTAGTTACTTTAAATATGCATAAATTTTCCCTTACTCTTGGCTTCAGTTGATTTCATATTACTCATGCCACTAGAATTATAATATCAACATAAACCTGATTATTGCAATTTAAAACCGTTTTGTGAATGTGTAGTGTGCTGAAAGGTGCTGAAAAGTGTGAAAGACCAGAAGAGGGCGATATACACTCAACATTTAAAGGGGTCATATGATGTTGCTAAAAAGAACATTATTTTGTGTATTTGGTGTAATGAAATGTTTATGCAGTTTAAGGTTCAAAAAACACATTATTTTCCACATACTGTACATTATTGTTTCTCCTCTATGTCCCGCCTTTCTGAAACACGTCGATTTTTACAAAGCTCATTGGTCTGAAAAGTGAGGTGTTCTCTGATTGGCCAGCTATCCAGTGCGTTGTGACAAACAACAAGCGCTACTCTACACTGCTCAAAACTCACGTTTGAATCGTCAGTGGCAAATCCTTTAGTAGTAGTAGTAGTAGTAGTAGTAGTAGTAGTAGTAGTAGTAGTAGTAGTAGTAGTAGTAGTAGTAGTAGTAGTAGTAGTAGTAGTAGTAGTAGTAGTAGTAGTAGTAGTAGTAGTAGTAGTAGTAGTAGTAGTAGTAGTAGTAGTAGTAGTAGTATACTTTATTGTCCTCAAGAGGAAAAATATAAATATATATAAAATATAATTTAAATATAAAAAACTTACTTACAGACTGTGAGTCAGAAGAGCCGGCACTGTAGTTTACTCTACCAGAATCAGAATAAAAAAAAAAGTCGTGTCTTCTTTTGGAAGGCCAAACAAAGTAGTTTCACTTTCACAACGAAACACACAGCGCCACACAAGGCAGCCTAGAGTGAGCGGCGGCCGGCGGATTCGACGAAGGAGCGGCTG